GCCGCCGCTATAGAGGACGGCTCCACGCCATTGAGCGTCGCCGGCGATAATTGCTCGTCGACCGGCGCCAGGTTACATTACTCCAATCACTCTTTACGCCGCACGCCGCAACCGCCCCATCTGCCACCTCGCGACACCGACAGCTCCTCGGAAAGAACGCAGAACGACTCGAGGCTTCAAAACGGTATACCCGGACACCATCGTGCGCCTCCGCCCCTTCCTTCCAGACACCAATCGTCCTGCAGCCAATCTTCCTACCCTACCCTGCCTATGAACGGCCACGCGACTCATCAGTTCCATCATTTCCCACGCGAGAAAGACAGATCGTCGGCTCGCGAGAGGAGTCGCGATCGGGACGTAGGCCTGCAATCCGTCCCTCATCGGTCCGACAAGCACCGAGATCTTCAGATGGAGATGGAGATACGCGACGGGCTGGACATGGGCGAAATAGGAACTTATCGAGCGTAAAGATACGCAGCACGAAAACGGGAACAAGGTGAACTCGTTTCGGAGAAGGCCAGAGCGCGGATAGGCCGAGCGAATTGAATCGAAGACTGAATTCGAACGTCGAATAGAGACTATCTGGCGGGTGAACGAGATTCAAACAGACCGCAGTTTACGCGTCTCCGTCCGATTTTCGCGCACGCACGTGATACGGTCGAAGAGGCAAAGATGCATCGAAGCGTTAGCCAGCGAACGATATCGATGCAATCGCGATGGAATTGGCCAACTCACGACTAAATCAAATCGAAGACTGATTACAACGGACATCGGTGAACAATATCGACAAGTAATTAACCGATGCCGGTACATTCCAATCACCTGTCTGCCAGTCTTCGCTGGGATCGGCCAACGCCAATTTCAATCAAATTACAACGTTTTGGTCGATGCAGTTTCTCTGAACGTCGATTGTACCGCGTCGTTGTAACGGCTCAACGAGAAATCTCCAATTTTTGCTGTAAAGAACAACCGAAAGGAACGTATAGAAAGATACGCGAGTTATTTTAACGGAAACGATGCTTCGCGTCAGGAATACGAAGAACAAGAGTATATCCGATGGAAATAAGAAGAGAAAGGAGGATTAATCGCGCATGCGAATCAAACGAGAGAGTCGATAATGAAAACGTCACGATGCCGAAGAAAATTGGTCGATAGGAAGAAAGGCCGATCGGCTATCGAGAATTATCAGAAGGTATCGATACGTTTCGTTAGACGTGGACGTTACGTTCGCGTCACGATAGTTCAGTGACTCTAAGAGCGCTCCAAGGACTTCACGGTAAAAGGAAACCGACTCTACGAGGCAAGATGGATCAGATTGAAACGCGCGCGTGTGAAACGTCCGTGAAGAACTGTGTCGAAAAGACCGACGGAAGACGAGTTCAGTGTACGTTACCGCAATGGTTTTACGCGCAACTATAGAACGGTCGTCTTCGTCGTAAACAAAAAGAAAATCGCATGTTCGACACATCGATGACTTTGAAGATCTTTCGCGAAGAATTCGTAAAGGCGAAAGCAGAAGAGAAGAAGGTTGAAGGAAGATGAAAGTTCCAGACGAACTTGCTGAGAACGACGTTCGACGAACGTGCCAATGTTCGAACCGTAAAAGCACCTCGTTTGTAAACGTAATTCTGAAAAGTTCGTAGAGCGAGACAACCGAATCAAAATCCAAAGAAACGAGACTCGTCGGTTACGCTCCCTTCTCGTCGCTGTCGCTCGCGAACGATCCGACGAAATCATTTCGGGAATCATACCGCGCTCATGGTGAGAATCGCGGTGAATTTTCAAGCGCCTTAGAAAGCGAATAACTTGAGAAGAAAGACGCCGAGTCGTATTCGGAATGCTCTACTAAGCGTTTCGATCATTCGTTGTATCGTATATGCCCGGCTGGTATCATACGTTATACGTATGTATCATATATTTCGTATTTATTGGCGTGGTTTTAGATAACTTTATATCTATCTTTGTATTTTCTGTATTATTTAAGGAAACAACCGACTGCTTTTTTACATTTCCTTGAGATTTGTACATTTTTTCTCCCAGAAGAGTCGAGCTGATTAACCTTGTAAATTATTGTAAAGATATTTTTTAAATTTAGTCGTGTACAAAGAAAAAATGTACGAATTTGTAATAGAACACCTATTTTCTGAGTACGATTCGTAATAAATGAACGCTCGCACGAAACTCCGCTGCATGTGCTCGTGTACTTTCAGATATAATAAAAAGTCGACCGCTTAATTATACCTAAACCGTGAAATATCACAACAAAGGACGGTCTCAAGTTCACAACCTACGTGATGAAATCAAAGGAACCTTCAAGATCGAAAGTAACTTGGACGAAGTTGACTACCGAGAATAATCGCTCGACTGGAATATTCTCCTTCGCGAATCTGGAACATAAATGTATAACGAACTTTCTTGGACCGGAAGGAACTTTCGTGAAACTGGAACTTGATCGTGAACTTAGGCTTCAACTATTCAGGACGACAACACTGTCTCACGCTCTTTCGGATCGCCATCCAATTGTACTTAAAACAAGCGCTTGAAACAATTTTCTATTTAAGTCCGTGTGTCTTTGACTCGTACTACCGTTATTATTCTATTCTCTACTTCTAAAGAAAAGTTTGAACTGCAGAACAGAAGAAATTTCTATGTTAATTTCCATGCGTTTCATTCGATAGAACGTACATTTCGCTTATTCGTTTCAACCTCGCTCCGGTTCAACAACGAGTCGACGTTCTAGTTGATAGCTAAAGCTACACGTATGCTGTCGAACGTTCATCGAAAGATCCTTCGATTTTCTGGCATCGGACAATGGCTGCATTAACAAATCGAACTATTAGAAGACGCTTTCATTTGTGAAGAATAAAATGTGTATCGTAAGAGATGTATTCTCGTTCGACGTAGAATCGTAACTATATATAGTATATTTTAATGGAGCGAATTTTATTTTCCAAACGAAGCGTGAATATGTAGACGCGTGACATAGTTCAGCGAACCGTACAAGTCGTAGGTCTTCGATCGTTAAAATTTAAGAATTAATTTGTAGCGTCTCGTCGATGCAGATACGTATATCATTGACAACGTCGAAATTCCTGCTATAAAGATTACCGTTCGAAGCTGCTGTATCGCTAATCAAAGTGTCTCGACAGCCTGTAAGCTTCCCTGGCTGCTAAACTTTTGCTTTTTAAACTCACTATTTCACTGCGACGACCAGAAAAAAAGAGAGGAGAAAGGGAAAAAGGCAAGGAAATACCTCAGAGTGTAAAGAATTTTACGATAAAGCTAGAAATTTCGGTTGTCGTGCAATGCTGTACCCGTCGTGAAAATCGATTGGCAAGACACGATACCTATACACGATTCTGGTCGCCCGGCCAGCTGTTAACCGACTAGAAGCAAAAACTTATCAACGTATTGAAACGTATTTTACGATTTACGTGTACTCGTACTTTAACCGCGATCGTTTCACCGCCAACTCGATAGCGATCGAAGCTCGAGCAGACTTTTCCGTTGTTATTCAGAACCGTGTACATTTCAGAATAGCTGGCGGTCGTTTTTATCCCACTGGGACATAGGTGGACATTAAAGGTGTAGGGTGTTCGGTATCTCGATGCAAAATTATTGGTTCCGTGTAGATACGGAATATCGTGAACAATGATAGACCGCGGTGAGACAGAGCCACAGGCATTGAAAAACGATCGTAAGCTAACGATATTCGAATAGCTCCCGATTTCTTTTCGGACACGTTCGTTCGTCCGCTGGTTTTTAGAATCAAACTCAAAAGTATAAAAGAATATCTGCGATATTATATATCTCGAGATTGTAAATAACATTACCTATATCGTTTACAAAGATTTCCTTTGGTTGTAACAGGTGTATATGCATTTTACACGCGGTCGGAATACAGTGTATCTTCGTCAAGTACAGAGTATCATTCGGATAACTCAGTTTACTGGTATTTCCTCGTCTCGGGTTTGTCGCTGCCTCGCCGTTTGCTAATTACGCGACTGCAATTACGTGACTACAATACGATAAAAACAGCTTATCGGTATTCGATCGAACGTTGTCAGAAACGTCGTTCTAATTTCTAAAGTCAAACTTTCGACGAGAAAAACCACGATCCACAGTTCGGCTCGTTATCGAAAGTAACCGACGTTCCGTGACTGAGAGACGTCTTAAATTCGTCCCTCGATACCATCAAAATCCTGTTTCAAACAGCACGAACGATATCTCTCTTTCGATCGGCCAACCAACAACGTTAAGCATTCTCGTTGGTGACACGATACTCGAGACATTCTTTATCCAGTTCGAGTCTACGCAAACTTTTTCCTATTCAGGATATAAAACGGAAAAGAAATGCCAACTTTGAGATAATAATCGATAACTATATATATATAATGCTCTCTAAAGTAAGCGAGCAAACTTTTTGGTCGACGCTCGTATACTAAAATTAATAATTCGTGTCAACAATTTCAGTTGCTGACGTTAAAAAACACATTTCGTCTCTTACGAAAACACGGAAAGGCAAATTTATGATAAGATACATGCAATGAATGAATTTTACGTTATGGAACGCAAAGACGCTATACTGACATTTACAACCGATAGACGGGCTCGTTGAGAGTGAAATTACTTAAAATCTCGTTATAATAACATGGGTAGCGTGAAAGAACATAGAAATCGTACAAAAGATATATTTAGCCGGTTTAGCTGGTCTAGTTGATTGCACATTGTACACGGTCTTGCGTATGTGTATCGCGCTGCAACTCGGCGGAGCTCGGTTGGAAAAGATGAGAAGCTCGCGCGACGAGATTATTTTTCCGGCCGAGTGTACCCTGTGGAATTCCACGGTCACCCCGGTCGAGAAAGGTGACTGCACCTTGAATCGGCTCTCGCGCGCGGATCCCAACCGTGGAGAAGCTAAATTCCAGTTCAGGCCTTTGAACGAGCTTCGATTCCGGAATAGGTTTCGAGCAGCCATTCGCCAGCTATTGTTTCGAAGAAGAACGAGAAAGTCCTGTGCGCGTTTCCTAATCGTTGGTTTTCATGCGGGAAAACGCGCGTGCAAATTCTCTATTTAAGATTTTTTTACTTCAAACGGACATTTTGAAAGAACTTTACTTCTTCGGACGTGTCACTCTAAATTGACGATGTTTAATAATTTCGTTTTAGGAATCATCGAGCATTCGTCGAAAATCCGTAATCGGATAACGATAATACAGCGATAGGCGCGCGGTACAATCAGCTGCGTCGATGCTGGTAAATGCAAAGAGCAATTCAAACAGTTCAGCATTCAACGCTTCATTCAGAATTGAACAAACTTTGTCCGACAGAATATGTCAGTATAGTATCTGTGTTCGCAACAAGTAGCTTTTAAAAATTCAGTATCTATCCGGTACATGTCAGTCTGACCCATCCGTTTCGATCGCACTATCGTGTTTGGGAAAGTTTTCATTCATAAACGCCAGTGAAAAACATTTATTAACTCGAAAATGGATTAACACGCGTGTACGTAGTATTTTACATTTTGTTTGTTGGGAACGTTAAATCGATGACTGTTAAAGGATTCCCAATTCTGTACACGAGAGAGAAAAAATTGCTCACCGATATGAGTACCTGATACGTTTCATATTTCGTTTAATCGCGACCGGTATCCATTTGCTTTAACTTGCGACAAAATGGTAAAAATGATTAAGCAATTGAAAAAGTTATCCCATAGAATTCGTTGAACTAATAATCTAAAATTACAAACGTTTCGCTTCTACAACCGAAGACAATTGAATTAAGCACATGGATTAAATTATCAGGCGATAATTCTATATTCTCGAATAGTCGAGATTAAGTAACGGATATATTAAATTTTGTATTTTGTAAAACGAACGTATATGTCATATACTTCGTTCTATTATGCTAGAACAAACATTTATCAAACTAATCGGCTTCGATTCTCTTGCGTGATCCTTTAAATTATAAATTTAAATATGATACTAGAAATCGAGTGCCATTGCAATTTACCAACGTATTCGAAACATACGTTTCGTAGATTACCAGTCTTTCGTACTATTCTATATTTTTTTACCTACTAATTTATTTATTCTAATTAAAATTTTTTATCTTATAATAAATTGGTATTTTTTTGTTGCAATATATATTTCTTTTAACGTAACCATTTAAATCTCCAACGTAATTACTAAAATTTCGACTATTTCTTCAAAAATATGTTCGATCGATGTCTCGAGAAGCGTTATGATCAGTTGTTCGCTGCTATAAATCAGCAATTAAATGCTAATGTGTCTGCGGAAATATTAAACATCTTAAAACATAATTTTATTAAGATGGAACGGACGATAGAAATATAAAAGAAAAAGATATGCGTATACAAAACCTCGATCAAGACGTGTTTTCAACAAGTGGTTAAGAGATAATTGAAAACGGAATAAGTAATCAAAATTGCGGCATATTTTACGAAGCAACCTAATATCTGTAATAAAATATTCATAAGCATCTATTATGCGGACATGCGTACTTTAAGAAACTATTTTTTTTTTTTTTTTTTTTGTAGAAACGTTCGTATTTTAATTTTCGTACTTAATCTGGAATCCGTGCCAATCGAGTACAGATCGCCTTTACACGTGCACACACAAAAGTAGATATAAAATTTATCTCGAGGCAAGAGCCTTTGATATTTAAGATTTTACAAAAATTTCCTTCCGTTATATCCTAACGGGAAAATAGCATTGTTAGTTGAAGCAACAATAAAGATAAATGAAGTTTACACGAAAAACTGCATGTTATATCGTTTTGCTCCGTTCGCTTTCAATTTTGTATCATCACTGTACTGCCACTTAACCGGAATATCCGACACCCTCTGTGTTCATAAGAATCATCGTTCCGCGACATTTTAGAAATAATTTTAACGCGAAATCGAATCGCCATTGTCATTCGAACGTAAACAGAATCTCGAGCGTCGACTGTTTCTCGTTATTCGTTGTCGATTCTCGTCTGACAAATCAAGAGATTAAATACGAAAAACAGCAAATCGAAGGTGATTCGCGTTCGAACTGTCAAATGGATCGTCATACCCGTTAGATTCATATAAAAGCGATCAACCGTGAGTAACGATGCATCTAGTTTCGTAAGTTGGACGCTTTCCAAAATACTCGCACAAATCTTATCGCGCCTAGCTTTTCAGTGGTTGAAGTTCGCCAACACCGGTAAAAGAGTATCGTATCGAGAAATCGGCATGAACACGTTCACCGTTGATCAATTTCCATTGTCGATGCCACTGTTCGCCAAATTATAATCTTACGTCATAAAATTATATCTTCCTTTCGTAGAAAATTTTGCATACGCATTGCGAAGAACTCCATGCCGATTTGAATCCGAGACATGATCCGTGAGCGTGTTAAACCGTTGTTTTTTACCTGATTCATTTTCCCTTTATACCTAATATCGGATATATATGTCTACATCACGTTGGCGGAATGTTGAGCGCATTATTATCTAACATTTATCTACGTACTGAAATTCGTTTGAGCGCGATATGTCGTGTGAAACGTAT